GGCCTCAAATGACGGATTTTGTGAACGGTGGAATTTCCCTGTAGATGAAGACGTCACAGAGCGGTCAGATCAGATGAACWGTGTTAACAATCTTTCTGAGCAGTCAGTGACCTTGAAGAGCAGCAGATCTTCCAGCTGATGTGAACAGGCCTCTTTGGGTCCAGTAAAGATCCACAGCATGTGAGCCCTGATAACCTCCATCCAACCCTGCAAGAGCTCTGTGGCACCTATTAATGCAACCACTGCTGCCAACACCAAAGATAAGTTTTATTTTATTCTTTTTACTCAAATTTAGTAAAGTGCCCATACCAGTTTATGGATACAGATATATTTTAAAAGCCCTGAAAATGATTATTAAAATCACACTTATTGTCTGCTGCTGAAAGGTGAAATACACGTGATCATGTTTTTCTGTCYGTCAGTGCATGATGTGTTTTGTCTCTCTGTTAGCAAAATWTCTCAWGAACCACTGGACAGATTTAAATGAAACATCTCTCAGAAAGTAATCAATGAACATCTGAACTGCTGGCCATCATAACTAATCTACCTTTGTCAATACAGAAACTGTTACAACTTCCTCAAAATTACACATATTGAGACAAAGTTTATGTGGTGGTAATTGATAGTCATCCTCACCTCATCCTCACACATTGTGCAAGATGAGGCTGTGGCCATTACGAATTAAAATTCTGTAAAGAAAAGAAGCAATGTGGGTTTCTTCAAGGAATCCTGGTTCACGTCAACTCAACTCAGTCAAATGTGCACATTTTGAGTAAAAAAATTCTACCCTAGTGAGAATTGTGTTGTGGCTCAAATGAATGCAACACAATGACACAACCATGTAACAAAAAGGTGGTGTTGATGGAAATTTTGATAAATTTCAACTTGGGTGTGTCGGACTTGAACAGGCTGCTCACAGCTGCAGGTTGCAAAGGTTACATCTGAGGTTCCTCCCTAAAAACAGATGAGCAGGYAGTTTTCTTGTCCATTTTCAGAAAGATCTTTTTAAATTTTGCATGAA